GCTATGAGTTATCTCCAGGTTGGTTTTCTTCCTTCCTTCCTTTTTCTTTCTTTCTCTCTTTCTGTCTTCCTCTTTCCTTCCTCCCTTCCTCCTGTCTTTCTTTTTCTTTCTTCTGTAGCCTCAGCTCTGCTCTAATATGTTCAGGAACAAGAACTCAGCTTTAAACCTTGGGCTGCAGTGTTCAGAGCTCACAGCACAGGCTAAGGCTGACACCGTCTCTGAGATGGAAACAGCCATCAGAGGAGGAAAATCGAGAGGGAGGAAGCTGGACTCTTCAGAGAGTATATATAAAAGTGTTGTATCAGTGCTAAATCCCACACCTCTTTCTCCCTATATGGTGAACAAAGACTGCTGCTGCTGCTAAGTCATTTCAGTCGTGTCCGAACAAAGACTACGTATTACTAATTTTTAAAAATCTCAGTACCTGTCACAGTAACTGGCAAACAGTTGGCACTGAAAAATGTTTCTTGACTCTGAGATGAGTAGAAAATTACACAATTATTATTTTGTCATTTTATAATTATTTATGTTACATAATAATAGTATATAATATGTAGTAGTATATACATAATATAATAACAATAATAACAGCATTTATTAGGTACTTATGATATCATGTGTTTATAATCATATGCTCATTATTTTCATTTAACACTCAGAATGGCTTTACTAAGTAGATGCTATAATTATCCCCATGTTAGAGATGAGAAAGCTGGAGCTTTGGAAGGAGGTTCTGAGACACTGGTGTAGGGCATGGGGGTGGTGAGTTAAGTAAGACAAAATAATTACAGGGGAGAATTGAGGGTCCAAATGAGGATGGAACATGTGGGTTTGAGATGAAGCTTTCAACACAGTTACTATGTTTATCTCAATAACACTCTGCAGCCTAGAGCGGTTGGTGGAAACCAGTTTTTACGTAGATGTTATCCCCTTCATGCTTCCTTAGACTTGATGGCTATGAGTCACTCAATAAAGAGAAGTTAACGCATGGAGATAGGAACAGATGAAATATGTTCTTCAGCCTGGTGGAGACAAGTAATTGCTATTGGCTTTGGAGAATAGAGATACTTCAAAGCTTCCTCTAAGTGAGCTTTACCCACTCCCTTTCTAGCAAAACTCCTTGGCTCCTAGCCTGTATGATTTTAGCTTTGCTCAGGAAATTCTGCCTAAGAGGACTCAGAGAGAGGCTGGTAAACTTGACAACCTATAGTTATTTGATAACCTATTAGTTATTTGCTAATAGGTTTGGGGATAGAGGAGGAGAGAGTAATCCATACCAAAGAACTGGGCTATTTGGGTGGAGTTGCTTTGGGTCATTCACCAAAGTCATCACACCATCTACCTCTCCTATAACTAAGACAGTGGTTATACTAGCTGTGAAGGTGAAGGTTGCTCCCTTTCATCAAATTCAAGCTTGCTTAGAGAAAGGTAGGAGGGCTATGTCTGATCAGAAATGGGTGAGTAGGACGTCATTGGTTGACTGTAATTTCCTTGGGCAAGGAAGCATTTGCTATCATATCAACTCAGCCTTTAGACAGTTTTTACATTCAGCTTCCCCGGTGGCTCAGATGGTATAGTATCTGCCTGCAATGCGGGGGACCCAGGTTCAATCCCCTGGTCGGGAAGATTCCCTAGAGGAGGGAATGGCAACCTACTTCAGTATCCTTGCCTTGAGAATCCCATGAACAGAGGAGCCTGTTGAGTTATTATCCATGGGATTGCAAAGAGTCAGATATGACTTAATGACTAACACTTTCACTTTCTTTCAGTTTCTACAAAAACAGCTGGTACAAATTATTGTGCTGTTATGACCTATGTTTGAACCTGGACGATGCAGCACTCTGAGAAGAAGGCAAAGAGGATGGTGAGAAACTATAAAATGATGTCAACTAAGGATCAGGTAGAAGAGGTGGCCAATATTTGCCTTGGGCAGCAGAGGCTATGGCACCGACTCTTATTATCAGCCAGGGCTGTGCCTTGTGTATTCCTGAGACACTTTGAATTTATCTGGATTTCAAGTGCAATCTGGACACCAGGAGTTTTAAAAGCTCCTCAGATGAGTTGAGCTGAGAAACCCTGTTGAGGGGGCAGTAGGCCTGATTGTGAAATGAGAAAAGCCTTCAAATGGAAAATGAACTAGGTCTCCTTGCTTCACCTCAAGAAAAGAATCAGCACTAGTGCTAAGGGGTGATATGAAGGCTTATCTGGGCTCAAAGGAAAGAAGAATATTTGAAAAACTTTGAGCTGTACTGAAAATGGAAGTAGTTTAGTGGTAAAGAAGCTTTGATCACTAGAGGTGGTCAAGGATAAGATGGACAACCATCATCTGGGAAGGTTGAACTTGGCCAGTGAGGGCCCCCTGTGCCAGGAGGACCAGAAGCATCATTCATCCCCCTCACTCTTCATCAGAGCAGCTCAACTTTCTTTTTTTAATATTGGGTTTCCCCATAAGATTTCCTTTGAAGAAAGAGAGCTGCTCAAAAAAAAAAAAAAAACACAACAAAAAAAACTTTAAAGTCACTCAACTAGTTGACCTTTATAACTATTACCAGCTCTGAAATTCTACAGTATTTAATCTTGTTTGATGTTTTCTAAGAAATAAAGCTACTGATTGATCCATTCTTCCGAAGTCTGAGGTGGCAAAGGAGGAGTTCGTGAAAGGAATGGAAAATGTGATTAGAAGGGGGAGATGGGCTACTCTCAGCAGAGGGCCAGATGCAGGAGCCCTCAACCCTATGTAAACTTGCAATCAGTCAGAGTCTCTGGGGGTGCTGTGTGGTGATAGCTATTCATGAAATACAGCAAGGTTGAGAGCCATGGGCTCCATGGGTGAGCTTGAGAAGCGTTCTACTGTTCATGGAGCCAAACATGTCAGGCAGCCTCCAACACTGTGCTTCTTAAACTTCAGGTGCATCATATTCACCTGGATGGCTTATTTAAACATAGATGACTGCGCCCCACCCCCAGAGTTGCTGATTCAGTGAGTCTGTGACCAGGTGAAGAATTTACATTTTTAACAAGTTGTTTAGATGATGCCAATACTTCTGATCTGGGGAGCACTGTCAGAGAACCACTGCCTGACAAAAGGGGTTTACTTTAGACCTGCAAAGAACCTCCTCATGGTGGGAAGGTGAGTTACAGTATGCAGCATCCTTAAGAGGATAGGATAGTGCACTTAACCACTGTGGTCTTCCTTGCAGAAATATACTCACCTAGTGTATCACCCAGGTGGCGCTAGTGGTAAAGAACCCGCCTGCCAGTGCAGGAGAGGTAAGAGATGTGGCTTCAATCCCTGGATCAGGAAGATCCCATGGAGAAGGAAATGGCAACCTACTCCAGTATTCTTGCTTGGAAAATTCTATGGGGCAGAAGAGCCTGGCGGGCTATAGTACATAGGGTTGGAAAGAGTTGGACATGATGAAGTGACTAAGCATAGTCTAATCACAGGGGAAACATCAGACATATCAACGGAGGGACATTCTACAACATACCTGACGAGTAAACCTCTCAAGATTATCAAAAACAAGGAAAATTTGAGAAACTCTCATAGCAAGAGAAGCCTAAGGAGATATTAGACAACTAAATGTTACATGGTGTTCTGGGTGGGATCCTGGGACAGAAAAAGAGCTATTGTGGAAAAATCAAGAGAATGATGCATCAATATTGATTCATTTGCTGTGACAAATGTACTATAATATGATAACATGGGAAACCGACTCCTCTTCCTTTCTCACACTGCAGCAACACAGTAGGAATATAACCCCAGATAAGAAAGGCAACTGTCCCGGTGACTTAAAATTCTTAGTAGAAATTTCCAATACTTTGATTCTCCTCATCTGGAAATCATCACCACGGTAACCCATCTCTCTCTTTCCCTGCCTTCTTTTTTTGCACTTCCAAGACAATGTGCTCAAGGTGGTGGTTGAAATGAAGGGCAGTCAGAGTTCTTTCCCCAGACAATATTTTGCTGCTGGTTTGTAGTTATGGGTGACCTTATTTCACTGGGTTTGAGAGTGAACTTTATCAAATTCCTTATGTATCATTTAAGTTTTAAAGTGTCCTTGGAACATTGCACGGTGTGTGTGTGTGTGTGTTGGGAGGGGTTGCATAACAGAACCACTCTCTGGACCTGTATGTTTGTTATTCACCCAGTATTCACGTTGCATCTCCAACTTGGCTTTAGGTCCTCTCAGCCTTTTGGGTGCTTGTTGTTTGTAGTTCCTGCCATGCATGGTATCTGACAAGGTTCCAGATAATAATTAGCAATCACATCTGGTAAGGAGATGATACTGATTCAAGGGAAACTGAATACCTTATGTACAGTTTACAATGGATTGATTGATTTGGACCATTTATCTTTCCTTCTGAAGTGACTGAACTATACATTTGCAGGAGTTTAGTAAGGGTCTCATAGGTCCCCCTGGGGATTGGCAGTGGCTGAACCGATAGCTTTAAGGAAGAAGCTTAGATACCTGATTCATCTTCCATCCAGGCAGGGGCTCCCAGGGGATAAGTTACATATGAAATGCAAAATTAAAGCAGAAGGCTCTCATCACCTGGAATTTTCTCTCCCTAAAATTGAGAAACAATACTGGAAATAGTGACAACTTACAAGAGTTCATCTAGGGCACCAGGCGCCACTCTTATGGGTTCATTTCAGCACAGAGGCACAGAGAAGGTACGTAACTTACTCAAGCTCACGCAGCTGGAAGTGGAGCCAGGATTCTAGTCTGGGTCATCTGGCTCCAGAGTCCATTCTGTAAACTATAAGGTTTGTGCATCTTTTTTAGGGAGGACAATAGGAGATGTCCCACTCTTGAGTAGCCTGACTAGAGGGTCCAAGATCTGGACTGGAATTTCCCAGAGAATGTCACAACTGTCTAAGGCTAGGAGAATGTCCTATCACTTAGCTGTACTTCATATAACTATCACCAGCATCGCCCCTAGCAACTGGTAAATATTGATTAAGCTTCTGTTCCATGCCAGGTAACATGGATACAAAGATGAAAAAGAGATGGTAGGACTGCCCTCGAGAAATGTAGAGGAGATAAACACCCAAGCAAACAAGCCAACGAAATCCCAAACAGCCCCTAGTAAAGGCCAATAGAAAGAGCTCCAGTGAGTAAGGGACTCGCCTTGCCCTAGGGGAGGGTACACAATAGATGACTCCTTTTCTCTCCCATTTAGTTTTCCTCCAGGTACTTCCCTGATTTCTTCTACTTACAACTAACAAGCTTAAATGGAAGAGATTTGAAGTTCTGTGTAAGGTGTTGGGAGGTTTAGAAGGGAAGTATTCAGTTCATCTGATAAATATGAGAGGCTCCAACTCAGCAGATACCAATTTGCCCTCCTCCTCCCAGGAAACAGGAAACATTTACATCTTTTTCATTCTTCCAGGGCAGGAATCTTGGGTTCCCTCTGAAAGCTCCTCTGGCAGTCTCGCCTGGCTGTGCATCCATGTCTACCACCAAAACAAACGTGTTGCGGGGGTGTTGTTGTTCATGCATTGCCCTCGAAAACTCCTGCTGTCATGGGATCACCCTCTTCCTGCTGATGGATGGTTATTATCTGACTCTGTTGCCATGGAGAGGGATGGAATCAGGTGTGTTTTTCAGGCCTGCGTACTCCCACTGCGGCAAGGACTCTTCTGTACGTCACGTTTGGCAAGTCTGTGGCAGGCTGTGGCCAGGCTTTTCCGGGCAGGTGAAACCTTAATCAACTGATCAGCTGCAGATCATATCAAGACCTCTGCTTGATACGTTATTAGTGACAAACATGCTTCCACAACAAATATCACGATGTCATTTGACCATAACATTGTTGAGGGGGGAAAGAAAACACTCCAGTCATCAGACTTGGGATGAGAAGGGCTTGTGTTCACATAAACACAACTTCACGTCACTGTTTCTCACCAAGGACTGTTTTGTTCTCAAAGACCGCTGCTCATCCTCTGATCTTGATTTCCTACATTACAATGACCTCGATTTGTATGCCCTGGCAAGCAGCACAAGCACTGTTTCCTGTTTCTGAACTTGTAGACAACCATCCATAGGTCTCAACTGGTTGTCAATTTAACCAGATAGCTGTGGCACCTCCTTGATGATTTTTTTATCTTTAGCTTAGATTAAAAGGACCTTGGAAGTGAAGTTTTTAATTTTTTTAGATAGAATGTTCTTAATTCATTTTGCTAAATTGTCATATGACTAATAACCTAAAAAAGAAAGTAAGTATAAATTTGTGTCCCTGTTTCTCAGGCCTGAAAACACAAGTAGTGACAAGACTGCAAAAAAATTTGAATAGTTTTCACAGTCTGTGTACACTCTTGTGATGAAGTTGCTTCATTTATTGATAAATGTTACTTATGTAGTACTACTATAGGCCAAAAACTAAACTAGGTTTATCTTATTCAGATCTTAACATTTCTAAATGATTAAAATATATACAAAGCATATATCCAGCAGTTTGGAACATACTTTAAAGCAGAGGGGAGAAAGGTCACTTGGAGATAACTGCCATTAATAGCCTATATTCTTGTATTTTGTTGACTCTGTGTGCATGTGTGTGTGTGCATATTTTAAGCAAAGCTGGCAATATACTCTTTATATAATTTGCTGTTTTTTTGGTTTAATTTTTACAAGCTCTTCATAAACAAACTTTTCGGTTATAAAACATTTATATTATTTGTAACAGAGGATCAACATTCTTTTCTTTTTTTTCATAAGCATCCTGCATGGATCACAGATTCCATTTCTAAGTCAGAAGTCTGTCTTGACCACACTCACCCAAAGTTCTTTGGATAAGTTAACCTCCCTTGTATTTTCAGATGATTCTATCACTCTCTTAGAGATATAAACACACACACACACACATTGTTGTCACCCTGGAGCCCGACACAGGCTAAACCCAGGGATGTGGGCTTCCCTGGTGATACACACAGAAATGGGAATGTCCTCCCACTGGGTAGATTTTCACATCTTTGCTAAGGGATTCAAGACCTGGTACCTAATATTGAACACTTAGCTCCCCTTATCACCATTACAGCCATTCTCCCAATCTGGAAAGATCTCTTTTTGATGGAACCCAGTCCCTCACATCTGTCTTTTCCTTCCCCAGGAAAGCAATTCTAGTTTGGTTTCTATTAGGCCTGACTCTGCCAATAGAGTCTTGGTTCTCTTAGAAACACTTAGAAACTGTTAGAAACACTTAGAAACACAACTACTCTCTACGTTGAGTTGGAAGGGAAGGGTGAGAGTTGCTCAAGGAGGGGAAGATGAGCAAAGCCTGGATCTGCAGACTTCCATGTGCTTGGGAAGGTGAAGAGTGTAAAATTACCTTTGGTATTCTTTTGAGTCCCCTCAGAGCTTCCCTGGGCTTCCCAGGTGGTGCTAGTGGTAAAGAACACACCTTCCAATACAAGAGACATAAGAGAGATGGGTTCCACCCCTGGGTTGGGAAGATCCCCTGGAGGAGGGTATGACAACCCACTCCAGTATTCTTGCCTGGAGAATCCCATGGACAGAGGAACCTGGCGGGCTGCAGTTGCAAAGAATCAGACACGACTTAGTGACTAAGCAACAAAAAAACAACAAACAACATATGATAAACAACATGGAAACTATTCTCCTAATAACTTAAGTGTTTATCTATTGAATGTGACATAATTTTCAAACAATTGCTTTTAGGATAAAATCTAAACTTTTTAATGGGCTCCTGCCCCACTGCTCCAGCTCTACTGAACTTCCAGACTCTCTAGTCGGTTTTTCCTCCAGGTCATGCATATTCTGTTTTCTTTTGCTGAAATGTTCTTCCTTCTATCATCCCCATCTTCACACATTTTTCTCATTTTAGATTAAATGTCACTTCCTCTGGTTAGGTTCCCTCTCCTCTGAGGTCTTGTAGCAAATGTCGTAACTACTCGGTTAACTACTTTTCTCCACCCAGATTGTAAGTTCTGCAAGGATGAGGGCCATGTCTATTTTGTGTGTGGATTCTGTTCTAGCTCAATGTTTGATACATATTAGGTGTTCAGTAATATACTGAAATGAGTATGACTCTTTGCAACCCCATGGAATGTAGCCTGCCAGGCTCCTCTGTCCATGGAATTTCTCAGGCAAGAATACTGGAGTGGGTTGCCATTTCCTCCTCCAGGGGATCTTCCCAACCCTGGGATTGAACCCATATCTCTTGCAGCTCCTACATTTGCAAGTGGATTCTTTCCCACTGTGCTATCTGGGAAGCCCCTTGAAATGAATAGTGGACATTTTTGGGTGCTTCTGGTTTTCACAAGCAGTTATTATTTGGAATTTTATCTTGGAATTTTAAAATTACTTTCTGATGATAAATTCTTGGAAGTAGGATTACTAGGTCAAAGGATATAAACATTTTTGAGTCCTCTTGAGAAAACAGATTGTTTTCCAGAAAGTTGTACATTCCTACTAGTAGTGAATGAAATTTCCTGTTTGATTGTATTGTTATCAGCAGTATTAGAAATGATTTTTTGGCTAACTTGGTATTAAGAAAGTTTCCCCTCAATTTTGCCTTAAATCTTGAGATGGACATTTTTTCATCTATTTTTAAATTCACTTGTATTGCTCTGTTGTGAATTGTTTGGTGTCCTTTGCCCATTTTTATTCTAGAATTTTCATGTTTTTACAATCACTTTTTATACACTATGTTTTAAAGATGTCAGATTATTATGATATTCACTGAAGAATTTCCTCTCTGCTTAGATGTTTGTATTTTCCTCTTTCTTTTTTTTTTAATCATACATTCTTAAGTTAGTATTTTCATATGATTGGGTCTGTCCTCATTTTCCTTGAGATTTCTTGCATGACTCCTAGAATCCTTTCATCACCAGTGATCAAATATTCAGCCTTTTTTTTTTTTTGCATGTATACAATTAGATTTCTTTGCTGTCTGTGTGTGTGTGTGTGTGTGTGTGTGTGTGTGTGCATTTCTGTGCATGCGTCCTGGGGTGCCAGCCACTGGGAATTTTTAAAATTAATTAATTTATTTTAATTGGAGGCTAATTACTTTACAATATTGCAGTGGTTTTTGCCATACATTGACATGAATCAGCCATGGGTGTACACGTGTCCCCCATCCTATATCTCCCTCCCACCTCTCTCCCCATCCCATCCCTCAGGTTGCCCCAGTGCACCAGCTTTGAATGCCCTGTTTCATGCATCGAATTTGGAATGGTGATCTATTTCACATATGATAATATACATGTTTCAATGTTATTTTCTCAAGTCATCCCACCCTTGCCTTCTCCCACGGAGTCCGAAAGTCTGTTCTTTATATCTGTGTCTCTTTTGCTGTCTCACATATAGGGTCATGGTTATCATCTTTCTAAATTCCATATATATGCATTAATATACTGTATCAGTGTTTTTCTTTCTGACTTACTTCACTCTGTATAATAGGATCCAGTTTCATCTACCTCATTAGAACTGATTCAAATGCATTTTTTAATAGCTGAGTAATATTCCATTGTGTATATGTACCACAGCTTTCTTATCCACTCATCTGCTGATGGACATCTATGTCCTAGCTATTGTAAACAGTGCTGTGATGAACATTGGGGTGCACGTGTCTCTTTCAATTCTGGTTTCCTTGGTGTGTATGCCCAGCAGTGGGGTTGCTGGGTCATATGGCAGCTCTATTTCCAGTTTTTTAAGGAATCTCCACACTGTTTTCCATAGAGGCTGTACTAATTTGCTTTCCCACTGACAGTGTAAGAAGGTTTCTCCACCCCCTCTCCAGCATTTATTGTTTGTAGACTTTTGGATAGCAGCCATTCTGACCAGTGTGAGATGGTACCTCATTGTAGTTTTGATTTGCATTTCTCTGATAATGAGTGATGTTGAGCATCTTTTAATGTGTTTGTTAGCTATCTGTATGTCTTCTTTGGAGAATTGTCTGTTTAGTTCTTTGGCCCATTTTTTGATTGGGTCATTTATTTTTCTGGTATTGAGCTGCATGAGCTGCTTATATATTTTTGAGATTAATTCTTTGCTAATTGCTTCATTTGCTATTATTTTCTCCCATTCCAAAGGCTGTCTTTTCACCTTGCTTATAGTTTCCTTTGTTGTGCAAAAACTTTTAAGTTTAATTAGGTCCCATTTGTTTATTTTTGCTTTTATTTTCACTACTCTGGGTGCTGGGTCATAGAGGATCCTGCTGTGATTTATGTCAGAGAGAGTTTTGCCTATGTTTTCCTCTAAGAGTTTTATAGTTCTGGTCTTACATTTAGATCTTTAAACCATTTTGAATTTATTTTTGTGTATGGTGTTAAAAAGAGTTCTAGTTTCATTCTTTTACAAGTGGTTGACCAGTTTTCCCAGCACCACTTGTTAAAGAGATTGCCTTTTCTCCGTTGTATATTCTTGCCTCCTTTGTCGAAGATAAGGTGTCCATAGGTGTGTGGACTTATCTCTGGGCTTTCTATTCTGTTCTATTGATCTATATTTCTGTCTTTGTTCCAGTACCATCCTGTCTTGATGACTGTAGCTTTACAGTATAGCTTGAGGTCAGGCAGGTTGATTCCTCCAATTCCATTCTTCTTTTTCAAGATTGCTTTGGTTCCATTGAGGAAAATGTTTGCTGTGGATTTATCACACATGGCTTTTATTATGTTGAGGCATGTTCCTTCTATGCCTGCTTTCTGGAGGGTTTTTTTTTTTTAATATTATAAATGGACATTGAATTTTGTCAAAGGCTTTCTCTGCATCTATTGAGATAACCATATGGTTTTTATCTTTCAATTTGTTAATGTGGTGTATCACATTGATTGACTTGTGAATATTGAAGAATACTGCCTCCCTGGGATAAAGCCTGCTTGGTCATGATGTGTGATATTTTTAATATGCTGTTGGATTCTGTTTGCTAGAATTTTATTGAGGATTTTTACATCTATGTTCATTAGTGATATTGGCCTATAGTTTTCTTTTTTTGTGGCATCTTTGTCTGGTTTTGATATTAGGGTGATGGTGGTCTCATAGAATGAGTTTGGCAGTTTACCTTCCTCTGCAATTTTCTGGAAGCCACTGGGAACTTAATGGTAGGTTGGGAGGATCTTCTTTTACCAAAAGACTGACCAATGTATCAACATGATCTGTTGAATAATCTTTCCTTTTCCAATGAT